TTACAACTTTTTAAAGTCCAAACTAATTAAAATATGAACAATTATTTATCTCATCATCAATATAAAAGGATAGAGAAGAAAAAGTGGTCATTTCACATGTATGGCATGCGTTTTTTGAACTTTGTGCAATAAAAATATAGATATAAAGATAAAAAAAAAAATTCTAGCTATTAGTCTAGATGTGAAGCCAAGTAGCAATGCCTTCATATTTGGTCATCAAATTTGAAAACCAAGATTTTATTTTTCTTCCTTCTCCAAAATACTTACGTCTACAAACTTTAAATAGCCTCTGAGCATAAAGAAGCGCAAGAGTTGGATGAGCCCCAGGACAATCCTCTTTCTTCTGGCCACAATACAGCTGCCTCTGCCGGGTGGCTCTTCCTTTCATTGGCTGCTATTCTTCAACTCATGGTCCTTCATGGAGAAGGCCAACTGTCTTCTGATGTGCAGAGTATCTATCAGCCATTCTCTGCTGAGTCATAGTTCGAATGACTCGGGCTGAGAGGCAAGGTCACACAGTCGCTTTGCCTTCCCCTTCCACACCTTTCTTTCTTGTATGCTGGACAGCAGGACAACAGAATAAAGAACACATCAGCCAGCTTTGGCAATTGGCTCCCCAATGGGTTGCAGTATACAAGAGACCCTGTGGAGGACTTCTAATCCAGTGATTTGTCAACTTATTTATTCAATACATTCACATTTACTGATGTCATAGGAGTTTATTGACAATTTAAAAAAAAACCAGAATGAAGGAGTTGAGAAAAATAGACCCTGGGTAATGTGTGTTTTTTTCTTTTCTTTTTTCAAAAAACACCCGAAACATAAATGATTTGCTCACAGGTTCGTTGACCTTAGACCTTGCTGAAATTAAGACAACTGACTTCCTGGAAAAGTTCAAATGCATTTTGCTTTGAGGTAACTTATATGGTGGTGATTTTTCGGGGTTTTTTTCCCCTTCCACTATTATTCCTAAGGTTACTTTTATTACTGAGGGAGAGATGTTTGTCAAAGAATTGCTAAATTACTTCAGGGCTATATAATACACTTCAGTTTTCATCAAATGTTTAATCCCCAAAGGCGGGTGGGTTTTACAGACTGCTTTTGAAACAACTTTTTAGTCTTTATGAATGTCATAATGGCTCTCTTTGTCACTTTCACTCTTATTCAGGGAATAATAATTAGGTTAGTGGCTATACGTATTTTCCCACACTAAATGCTAGAACGTCCTTGTCTGTTCGGAGCCCAGGTGACGTACTGGGTAGGCTCTGGACTGTGATCCAAAAGGTCGGCCGTTCAAAAATGCCAGCTGCTCGTGAGAGAAAGAACGGGATTTCCACTCCGGTGACAACGACAGTCTTAGAAACCCAGAGGGGCGGTTCTACCCTCACCTATAGTCACCATGAGGCTGCATCGACTTGACGACAGTGTTTGGTTTGATCTTTTTTACTGTTAAATTTAAAAAGAAGAAAGAAATCCCATAGTCTTTGAAGTAAATCATTGAAACAGTAAAAAACATTTCCCACATATATCAAATAGTCTCAACTAATATTATGTTATTTCCTGTCAAAAAGAAAGAGAGAGGGGAGGGGGGAAAAACAGAAAATTAGAGGCTAGCGAATTTTGGGAATGATGAGGGCAACAAATGTATAGATGTGCTTTACACAATTGATCTATGTATTGTGATGATTTGTATGAGCCCCAATAAAAAAAGAAAAAAAAAAGAAAAGAAAGATATTAGAAAAAAATCTATATAATAACGTAGGCATTGTTATCAACAAGAATAACATAGCTCTGAACTATTTCCAACTTTGCCTCTCAAATTCCTTTGGCTTGGTGGCAGAACACATTAGTTCCTGCTCTTGTTCTCCGCAGGAAGTGGTACACCCATTGCAATCTGTGCCATTTTCCCGTTCCAACATTCAGGGGAAGAACTACTAGTTACTGCTCTGATAATCCTTCTTATGCTGAGAGCTCCGATTCAGAAGACATCTGACAATGGGTCTCAAACGGAGGATTACAATTACCGGGAAAGCTTGTTAATAGGATGGGGTATTTTCCAGCTACTGTGATTCAGCAAGTCCGG